ACTGCCGATAAGTATAAACATAAAAAGGCTAATCGGACTTTCACTTTGAATATCGTTACATGAAAATAAAGGGAATATTACTAAAAAAAATGGATTGTAAAAAAAAATATCTAATTTTAATTTTAATTCTTAAGTGTTGTCTTGGTATTGCTCAGTCATTTAGTCCAAAAAACCCTCTAGTATTCAATTAGTTTCAGTCACGTCGATGCTCTAATTCAAGACTGGAAGGAGCGGTAAAGTTTATTGACTAAAATCTTTTTATCGGAACATAATCTTACTTAATCACATATACAGATACAATTAAAGAGGCTGGGTGTGGCAGTTATTTTCAAACTATTTCGATCTCCTTTAAAAGAAGAGCTCCATATAAAGATATACAAAAATGATCAAATTTTAAAACTAAAATGTATGAATTTTTTCTTTGCCAAATGATAGTTGACAGCTTAAGATACCATATCTAAAAAAAATAAGTTAAATCTGGTGGCTAATTTGTGATTAATTTGTCGACCCCCAGCCTCCATAAGGAACGTGAATTCTAAAGTTGAAAAATGCACCTAAAACATCACATGTTTAATTTGTGTGTCTATGTAAGATACTCGATCAGCGTTACCAAGTGTCCCAAAAATCTTTCACTAAACAACATTTATTATATATTCTGTGAAAACAAATGTTATGTATGATTACAAGGGTGTAAAAAAGTTTCACGTGTACCCGTTATCTCTGAACATTTTCCCCGCCTATAAGATACATACGTATCCAAATACATACCCGCGCTTTTCATTTCAAACATTTTTTAAAAAAAAATGCGCCCTTTTTTTATCACGTGAACCTGCAGCTGTTATCTCAATACACCACAAATTTCCCCAATCATATAAGATATTTACATCACGTTTTTTTTTTGTTACAAAGATTTTTAATAATTAACAATGTTCGTCTTATCTCAATGTCTTGGTTTTTGTCATGTCACGTTAACTATCGGACCGATTAAAGAACATGTATTTTACAACTGCCTATATAGAAAACTAAAAATCTTAGATGTAAAACTATTATCTTTTTTATGTGTAATGTAAAATACTGATGTAGGATTTTCATTATTTTTTCAGACTTTTTCTCATTATCGATGTGTGTGTCAGCGTAATTGCTATCATATTTTAGCATGCTATCATCTTTCAACATATTTTCAAACATTAGTAAGATAAATGGACAAAGCTTTGTTTTGATACCCTATTAAACTATAAACGAACTGTGATCCCTTGAACATTTCAACACCGTTTCAGTCACAAGACATGTCCAGCGTTATGTAAAAAGCGTAAATCTAACCAAAAACTATTTGGTAACCATCCGTGGGGGTCCTATTCTAATAAACTTTCTTTACACCTGTCATGGACATTCAAAATGTTCAACTACAATATAAATAACATTAACCTAAATTGACCACATGAAATGGTTCAAAAGTTTATCTAATAGCTTGATTTTTTCCCGCCACCCGATCAACGTCCAGATCATGTGACATATTTTCAATACCGTAATGACAGGTGTCAATGCTTTCCCCGTTATACAAAAGAACCGCGGAATCGCTCGTTGTTTTCTACCTGAGTGTCAATTCCATGGACATCAGGGAAGTTTTCATCACTAATTGCAAACTTGCAACCATTGAAGTCAGCGGACCAGAAGATGTCAAGATACGGGGTTTAACTGGAGAAAGCTGTCGTAAGTAGATGTATATTATACACAATAGGCTAATATAAAGTATAACACACTTAAAATGTAATCCTTAAAAGTATCATGAACTTAACCAAAAATAAGACACTGTGCATGTAAGCGAAAAGAAGACATTGTGCACGTAAACGCTTTATTAAGCATATTATTCACTCATTATAATCAACTAAACTTGTTTGTTAAAAAAAAAAACTTGTCGGGGTAAATGCGTATAATATAGTCACGCGTGTGTGTGTGTGATCATAATCTCCCACCTTTTCAGCATCCGTGGAGTTCCGTATGGGTATGAATGAATTATTCATTGATGTAAATGTAGGTAACATGACCGCATTCAACCAATGAAAGTTCCCTATTTTTACTATGGAATGTACAACTTTTAATCTTTACCAAGAGTTATCCTTCTTACTCCAATTATCTCACCGGTTTTCACAAGATAGTACGTTCTATCGTTAAAATGATATTGTCCTACGGACCCGGTTTAACGATAGAATTCCTTCCGTGTGTATTCGTAATGTACCAAAAGAGACACGAGCGATAAGTTGTACTCAGTGCATTTACAACGAACAATCTAGAGAGTTCCGAATGTAAACATGGCAGGTAAATTCGAAGCGAGGGAAAAACTTTGAGAAAATTAATTGAATTTTCGCCTTTATGTGGATTATGTTTTTGGGGTAAAAGGCATAAGCAATCTCAACATGAGGCCCATGGGCCACATCGCTCACCTGAGTAACTTGGGTGATACAGTTCTTTACCAGATTTCCCCTCTTGCTATACCTTTCGTGCCCCCTACCCCTTCCCTCTCATGATTTTGATACTTTAGAATCTACACTACCCCAGGTTGCTTCCACATCAGTTTCAGCTTTCCTGGCCCAGTGGTTTTTGAGAAGAAGATTTTTAAAGATTTGTTCTGTATATTTCTACGTAAAACTTAGATTCCCTATTGTGGCCCCGCCCTACCACCGGGGGTCATGATTTTAATAACTTAATATCTACACTACCCAAAGATGCTTCCACACAAGTTTCAACTTTCCTGGCCCAACGGTTCTTCAGAAGAGGATTTTTAAATATTTGTTCTATATATCTCTAACTTGGATTCCCTATTGTGACCCCGCCCTACTCATGGGGGTCATGAATTAAACAATTTAAAGGCCGAGAGTGACCTAAAAAACTTTACACCCCTACAGCAATTAAGCATATAAGGCTTGAGGGGCAGGGCTTAGCACTGATATCAGAACAGCAGCAGAATTGTTGTCTGTTTTAACACGTGCTCTGTAGCAGACGATATTTGTAGAGGAGAGGCACATGAACGATGGCGCGATTTTTGTAGATATGTCTGTATAAACATGAATTAAAAAGCAAACTGAATAAAATTAGAAGTTTACAAATATTTATTGTATTAGTTTTGTTGAGGATTGTAATTATAATACTTAAAAATATATACTGTTCCCCAAGAATTTGGCACTGACTTATAGGTACTAAAACAAATTTCCTCACAAAAAATAAGGTACCTTACCAGGCATTTGGACAAGATGCGAGAGGGTGGAGTTTCTTATAAAATCCTTTATGGGTAACTTCTGAATAGCCAAAATCAGTATTCTTTAAGTGTATTTATATTTAAAAACATATTAAAAACAGTGTAGAAATCACAAAATGATGTTAATACTGAATATTTCTTTATCCTATATTAAGAGATCCAGAACACAAATTTGAGGAACGTGTCCTATGTCCTTAATATAATTCATCTCCCAGTTATTATTTGGTTTTGAACACTGAATATATGCTCGTTTAAATTAGAGCAGCTATTTGTCTCTTCCAGATGTTATCTCTGTATGAATATGTTGGGGCTTTGTACACTTTTTCCCCTTGGTACTTCTTGGAGCATCAGATCTTCCTGGGTTCCACACTGAGGTGTACTCTCTATATACATTCTCATTCCAATGACAATCTGCTAAATAGGATCTGGCTCTGTGTGTGTGGTCTCCAAATGCTATCCTTTTGTCTTGGAAAATGTTCATTGTGTTAAAGAAATTTTCCACATAATATGTGTCTTTTCCTAGAACATAATCTTCGGGATGCTTGTACAAATTTGAGCTCACAATAATGTTGCGTAATAGTTTTTCAGAAACTTTGTCAACCAAAACAACCCTGGAAGGTTCATAGTTTGTGTCCATTTTACATCTGGAAGATGAATGACAATCACTGTGATTTCTTTTATAGTGTTCCACTGTGTTAAATAAAAGATTCTTTAATTTTTCTTGGTCTTGATCACAGTTTCGCAATGCCCAATGACAGTGTGTTGCCACTGGCTCGACTTTGTCCTGTAGAATTTCTGACCAGGTTTTGCCCTTTGAATATGCTGAGCGCTAGACACTTTTTCTCATTTTCTCCTTTATTGGTTTAACGCCATGCCAGGAATCATTGATTGATAATGCTGTGATGAAACGATTTTCTGTCGTTAGAAGCTCTTCGATGCTACTAATCGATTATAAAATAAATGTCGCCGACATCGCTAACAAAAAATAAAATTGTCATACTTTAATTTTATTACCAAATCCAAGTGCAAAGAGCATAATAGTAGTGAGGAATGTTGAAAACATGGAAGATTCCGTGTCTTGTTGATACTTTTACCGCCATGTTTAAATATGGAGTCAGACTAAATCTAGGAAACTGTGATATTTCAAGGTTTTACTATACAAAGGAAAACATAATTAGTCTAGTCAATCTTTGAACGTAATTATAATCAGAAATAAAAGTCTTACTTCTGTATAACTTTAACTTTTAAAACTTGCAATTTTAACTAATTAAAACTAATTTTAAAAAATAAATACATTTTGGTAAAAGTCTGACAGAAATCTGAATAAGTTTTGAATTTTTTATATTATTGTACCGTGAAACTAAAAGTGTGTTTTTTTAACTGATATAGTAATTGCCAATTGACCCAGTGCAGCTTGCAGACATTAAACATGCAGTGACCTTACACATAACAAAGAAGTGGAGAAAATCTTTCTTGGATAAATGGTATGAAGCACAGCCCTGGGAGGCTAGGATATAAATTTAATTGTGAGAAATGAATCCGGAATGCAGGTAGAAAATGGCAAAGACAAGATGAGCAATACCATAAGATTTCCTTACTAATGATTTAAAATTGTAGTTGTTGTTTACATATATATTGTAAAGTGTGTGTGTAATTTAATCAATATTGATAAAAAAATTCTACATGCTCCTTGTAAATATTCTTATTACAATGTACTGTGTTCCAATATTCAATAATTTCATTTTTTTACTACTACTTGAATAGATTTTTATTTTATTTACTGGTATTATCTAAAAATGTCTCATTCTTATTTTTTTCACGATAAATTTGTAGCTGAAGAGTTTAAACTTTTTCAATATGCTGTTCTGCATGTTTGTCTGTCAATTATAAAAGATACAATCCAATGCGTTGGTCGTGAACATGATGTGTACATTTTTAAAAAAATTTTATTGTACCTAATGATATAATAAATTGTATATAATTATACTCGTTGTTGATGGTATTGTAAATAATTATGTATGTATGTCTAAATATGTAGCAGTTTTATAGCAGTTCGTAGGAAAGTTTTCAGCCATTTGGATATCCATTTAAGGAAATGCTTGTTAGCAGTTCTCCTGAATGTTAATTAGCTTACAGCAGTTTTTAAAGCAGTTCTTATCAATATTCATACTGGACAGCTGTTTTCACAGACCTCATTAAAATATTTCGGCCTATACAACAGCTAAAGAACTGGGAATGCTAAATAACTGCTGTTAACTGCTATTGGAATGTGTGTATGCAAATTACTAGTTTGCATAAAGTGAGTGAACTGGAATGCTAAGGAACAGCTGTTAAATGATGTCAACTTCATGTTTATCTGTGTGTCTATCTGTACCATACATAACAAATTTTCATTGCAGTCTTCTAAGCAACTATTTATTGCATATTCTTTGCTCAGGCATGTCATATGGTGAAATTTAATTTCGTTTGAATCTGATGTTAACTTATTTATATCTGCATGGATAAAAGAAAGCGTAAAATGCATACAAAAAATTGAAAAAAAAAATAATTTATTCACTAATTAAATTATTAGCTGTTAGTTCTATTTTCCCCTATGTCCCCCTCCCGTATTATTGTTTGGCATCTGCACTGGCTAAAGCTGCTAATTGGCATTAAATAAGAGTAACTTGACATTTACGCGCGAAAATTTTGACAGTATCTAAAATCTAAAAATAGCAAGCAAGCGGAAGGTTGTATTGGAATTGAGTGATGATCAGTTAGAAAATATAAGAGATGTTCTCAATCACTTTGATTGGGATTTTAATTCAGCAGTAATTTCGGATGGTATATCTTTAGTGAATGCTGAGACTCAGACTGATTCACCAGAACATGAGGAAGAAACAAATGCCAACAATGGGTTGTAAATGAACCATTCAGAATACAACAGGATCCGAATAATTCAGAGTGCATATATTGTTTCTGTAGACCTTGTATCACTGATGAAATGAATAGGCAGATTTGGTGGGAAACTGACCCTCACCCAAAGGATACAAGAAACAGAAATATGCGTAAAGAAAAGTATAAAAGATTTTGGACTATGATGTATCATAAACATATCTGGGATCACCCTAGATATGTTGAGAAAAAAAGAAGTGCATTAGAGCAAGACCCAGGGTTCAGAAATTTAGTGTGGCATCGCAGAGACATAATGCCAGATTATGTAATAAAATGTGTGAGAGGCTGGTTTCCCAATCCTGACAATATTCCATTCGTCGGCCACCTGTGGGAGTAACATTTTCTAAAGTTCAAGGTGATGATCTGGGGATGTTTTCCCGCACTTTTCTACCAATGTGCTCTGCCTCAGACTGCTTGCGAGGCACAGAGAGGGTATTGATAAGAACATTAACAATAACTTACTATAAACCAATATAATTTATTGTACTCATCATTTTTTTAAAGATTGTAGTTTATAGTTTTTATATAAATTAAATAGTTATATGCCTTGGTTATAACTAATTTAATATTTATTAAGATGATCCTTTCTGTACCTTTCGAATGCTCATCGAGCAGGCCAGAGTGCAATGAAACTGGTGAACAACATGTGTATTATTCAGGAGACATTATATCTGTAACAGTACTAAGTTTTCAGTTTTGATATAATGTAATGAACACCTTGGAGTGATATTTTTTTTTTTTGGATCTCCGAGGGAAGAGTTATTTCATGACTAACACTTGGATGGTTACCTAAACAAGCCGAGTTTTCTCTCTCAGACTGAACCATGTGAACAGTATTTTGATTGTGGGAGTTATTTTTCTTCCCTAACTATTTATTCTAAATGGAACATGCTGAATACAATGGACTTACTAATAAAAGCGAGTAAATCTAAATATTTTGTTACTCTTAACAGAGAATAACATATATACCAGTAGAGATGATTGGTTCAATTTGGCACCATCACTACACAGACAGTGAGTGAGTCACGGCCACAAACTGCCAATCTCTAGTTTGAAATACAAAATCAGCCCTGCTTCAATTTTTTGAAGCCAGAATTAAATCTAATAAATATTTTTTATGTAAAACAAATCTGACAAATAAATGCTCACTGATGAGAGGACCTAGCATAACAATTTTGAACTGATAATAAAGTAGCTGAATCTTGATCTTTTCAAAATAAGTGCTGCAATCTGAATGTGACCAGAAAATTCATATCCTCCACCATTTTCACCGATTGGTTGCTTTTAAACCCAATGACTGGCCTTTAAACTTGAACTTAAAGTAACATCTTGTTTAATTTTCAACTTAAAAATACGAATATTTGTGGATATTTTCGTATTCCATAAATAAAATAAACACGAAATCACCTTACAGTAAATTTTTATATGCCATGAGAACATAGATATTAATAAAACAAATTCTAAAATACGACGTGTATTTGACCCACTTTCCATGCGAGAGAAGTCGAGTCAAACCTCGTGACTAAAATTTGCATACACAAGCAGAAATGGCGGATGATAACGTGACGGAAAAAGAGACCGAAAGAAAAGAGGGGATAGAGTGCCGATTTTGAGGGCATCTGCGAAGAAAAGAAGAAAGAAAGAATATGATCAGAAGTTGGCGAAAAGCGGAGTGTATATAGGGGATACAGTAGACTGCTGGAAGGCGCTGAAAGAAAAGATCAATTTGATAACAGATGAAGAAATGGCGAACATGCTGATAGAACGGCGTGTATTTTTTCTTTGTTTTTATGAAAGTAATTAAAGAGAGTTTCAGGATAAGGATTTCTGTATACTTATATTACACTATTTCCTTTTTGTGAAATTCTCCAAAAAAAGTCCTACAGGCTTACATACAAGTTACAACTCAAATTCTATTGCTAGTGTTTTGTTTCATACTAGGGTCTGTGTCTCCGCACACGTGTACTCGTGCTGTTGTAAATGAAGTCAGAACCTTGCAAAAGTAACTGACATATATTATACATATATGTTAGCAATTATCTCAATTTATGGACTATGTGTTAATTTATCAAGACAGTATATGAAGTGTATGTTGTATTATGTAAACAACAATCACATTTTTAAATAATATTCTTATATACTAGCTGTTTATAATAATGATAATAATCATGTATTTAAACTTTAAGGACCTGGTTTGGAATAATTAACATTTATCTATCATGCATAATTATGAACATGTCTATTATTATATAGGTATGAACCCTATGCCTTGCCATCGTTCAAAGAACTCCAGTCTGCACCAACCACCCAGGCTTCTCCGGTCATAGGAAGTCAAAGCTTTAAGGTGTCAACTTCATCATCATGGACAAAAACTTCCACACCAGGGTGTGCTTTTATTAAGCCTTCCTCTACACTGATTACACAGAGTGAGAGAACGCCCTCCGTATCAGAGATCTCTGCAGAGTCTGAGATGTGAGTATGCAGAATTTGTTATTTATAAATTTATGATATGAAAGAATAATAAATCACATGATTCTGAAGTATATGTAAAATAATAATGTGTAAATTCAAATTTAGAGAACCTATGTCGGGAATTGAAGAGCTTCATGGATCAGGCCAAGAAGATACAAAGTGAGTACAAAGAATCATTGAATTACAAAAAAAATGGGTATTTATTCATTTGTTATTAAACCAAGAGGCCCAAGGGCCTTGAATCGCTCTTCTGATAAATTGTACAATCTATAACTTCTATTTGAAGCCTCTTACTATAAGATGCATGAACTGACAAAGTTTAATGATTCTTTGCCAGTTAGGACTGAAGATATTTCAGTATAGCTATAAAATACCATAAGTAGGACATGGTGACCTACTTTTTGATTTGAAACTTTCTGAGTACTCAAGATGCATTAATTGACAAAGATTGATGGTTCTAAGCCAATAAGTACCTCAAATATTAAAGTAGGTCACTGTGACCTTCTTATGGTTGACATTCTCTGAGGACCAAAGATGCATCAACTATCAGAGTTTGATGATTCTACGCCAGTAAGTACCAGAGATACTTAGATAAAGCCATAAAATGTAATAAAAAAAAATGATAGGTTACCGTGACTTACTTTTTGGTCGACATTTTCCGAGGACCCAAGATGCATCAACTGACAATGTTTGATGATTCTAAGCCAATAAGTATCTGAGATAATTAAAAGTAGGTCACTGTGACCTACTTTTTGGTCGACATTCTCCAAAAACCCAAGATGCCTCAACTGACGTTTGATAATTTTAAGCCAAATAGTACCTAAGATATAACCATAAAATGTCTAAACTACTGTAGGTCACGGTGACCTACTTTTTGGTCAACATTCTCCGAAAAACCAAGTTGCATCAAATGACAAAGTTTTGATAATTCTAAGCCAAAAAGTACCAAAGATACTTAAATATAACCATAAAATGTCAAAAGTAGGTCACCATGCTTTTTGGTCAACATTTTCAGAGGGCCCAAGATGCATCAACTGACAATGTTTCATGATTCTAAGCCAATAAGTACCTGAGATAATACAAAAGTAGGTCATTGTGACCTACTTTTTGGTCGACATTCTCCGTAAACCCAAGATGCCTCAACTGACAACGTTTGACAATTCTAGGCCAATTAGTACCCAGGATACTTATGTATAGCCATAAAATTCAAAAGTAGGTCACAGTGACCTACTTTTTGGTCGACATGTTCCGAAAACCAAAGATGCGTCAACTGACAAAGTTTGATGATTCTAAGCCAAAAAGTACCTGAGATACTGAAATATAGCCATAAAATGTCAAAACTAGGTCACAGTGACCTACTTTTTGGTCGACATTCTCCGGAAACCCAAGCTGTATCAACTGACAAAGTTTGATGATTATAAGCCAAAACGTACCCAAGATACTTAAATATAGCTAAAAAAAAATGTCAAAAGTAGGTCACCGTGACCTACTTTTTGGTTGACTTTTTCCGAAGACCCAAGATGCATCAACTGACAAAGTTTGATGATCATACGTCTGAAAGTATTCAAATTATGCCTTTTAAACAATTTGAAAACAAATGCCTGCAAAATTCAAAAAGTAGGTCACAGTGACCTACTTTTTCATAAATATGTTTTAAGGCCCCAAGATGCATCAACTTACAAGATTTGGTGAATCTAAACCTCTCAGTATCTGAAATAATGGGATTAAATGTTTTAGAAAAGAGCCATAAAATTCAAAAAGTAGGTCACGGTGACCTATTTTTAAGTTGACCTTGTTGAAGGACCCAAGATGCATCAACTGACAACGTTTGATGATCATAGGCCTTAAAGTGTCCAAAATATGCCTCCAAATCAATTTGAAAACAAAAGCCCATAAAATTTAAAAAGTAGGTCATCCTGACCT